AAAAAAAAAAAAAAAAAAAAAAACACCCTAGAAAGCGGTGAGGGAGAAGAAGATCAGATAAAAAAAAAAAAGGGTTAGGAAAGGGACAAGACATGGTTGATTGGGATTTAGGTAGGTATAACACGAAGACTGCTCGTTTCATCCAACCGCAGGGGCTAGGTTCAACGGCGAAGTTGAATTTGATCCCAGTTAATCAATATTCAGTTCAGTTGCATGGTTTGTGGGGGTAGGGGCTAAGACTAGTTACTATCATGAGAATTTGCAACTGTTGAAGTAGCTAAAGGCATGCATTTTTCATTGATCACATGCACACACGAGTCTAGTTACACGTTAAGAGTTACAAGAACACAGCAACCAGTGGGAATAGCTCCAATGCCTCATAATAAATTATTTTTCAGATTGTAAATTCATCCAACCCTCATAAAGCATTTCGAAAAAATAACAATATATATAAATCAAAACGACAAACTAGTGAAGGATAGTCCGAAAGAAACCTGGATTTGGTTATTAGTGATTAGTGTTTCGAGCTCTTTCTCAAGACCAGCAACACTTGTTTTAAAAGCATCAGCCATCATGCGGAGATCAACAGACACAAATGGGAGTGTGTATTGGATGAGAGCCTTGTGACGTATTTGATTGTAGAGTGTCTCGACATGGTCATGTAAATGAATGTCAAGCAATAAGTTAGGCTTAAGATTCCCCAGGTAGTCCAGGCATGATGCATAACGGCTGCAAAGAAAATTCAATATTTTCATCAGGAAAAAAATAAAAAATAAATAAATACTGTACAATTGATAAAACATTAACATCTGATATATTCAAAACTCACTCGCCTATCACCAACAAAAAACATTAACAAGAAAGCTTCATATCTGAAATAATATGTTAATTCGAAGAACTCAATGGTTCAAAAAAGACATTCGCCTGTCTTAAATTAAATTTATGTGAATACTTAGAATCATGTCCGATCCAATTTAAAATTCGTATACGTGAAAAGATAGATTCATGTACCTAAGGCTAGAGATAGAAAATTATAATATTAGTGATAACTGCTTATCACAATGTATAAGAACTCCACAAACCTTGAGTAGAAATCATTGATCAGCTCTCGGACTACAGGAACCAACTCTAAGAAATTTCGAAGGTTGACATTGTCTATAACTTTGGACTGCCAGATTAAAGAAGAATAGTCAGAAACATCAGAAGCAAGTCACTTGCCTTTCATTCCATAGGGAACATGATTAGCAGGAAATAGAAACAAATATGTGCCTTTAGCTCTGAGCGGTCAAAAGTTGCAAGTGCACAAAGACCGCCATACGTTGCAACATCTTGGGGTGCAATCACTTCGTTGTAATGGCTTCCTAATTCAGGACCTGTCTCCAAAAACTGCAAAATATAGCAAAGAATCACCTAATCAGAAGGTAAGAGAAAGAGTCCTTCAACGCCACAATCGACATTAATATAGACATTTAGCAGAACACAAATACAAAGAAAGCCCATGATGATCATGTTGTCTTTTTTACTCTAGACAATCATACACAAACACAACTAATAAAATATACATGATTCAAATGATAAGAGCATGATCATATGCGACCGTATATTGCAACTTTGAAGAACGGAAGTTTTAAGACAATCAATACAATTTGAACCAAACTACTGGATCCTATGATGATCAAGTTGTTTTTTACTCTAGACCACCATACTTAAACACAACTTATAAAATAATACATGATTCAAATGATAAGAGCATGATCATATGCGACTGTATATTGCAACTTTGAAGAACGGAAGTTTTAAGACAATCAATACAATTCGAACCAAACTACTGGATCCTATGACGATCAAGTTGTTTTTTACTCTAGACCATCGTACACAACCACAACTTATAAAATAATACAAGATTCAAATGATAAGAGCATGATCATATGCGACTGTATATCGCAACTTTGAAGAATGGAAGTTTTAAGACAATCAATACAATTCAAACCAAACTACTGGATCCTATGATGATCAAGTTTTTTTTTTTACTCTAGACCATCGTACACAAACACAACTTATAAAATAATACACGAATCAAATGATAAGAGCATGATTATATGCGACTGTATCTTCGAAGAAAGGAAGTTTTAAGACAATCAATACAATTCAAACCAAACTACTGGATCATAATGTGCACAAGAAAACAAACCTTGCGAGCAGCAAGTTTGTACTTTTTTACTTCCAAGTGAGCCAATCCTGCAGCACAGCGAAGCTTTGCGCTAGTAATTGCATCTAGGGCCTCTGGTGTCTGTTCAGCTTTGCTGGCATAACTAGTGACATGTGTAAATTGGCCCATCTCTATGCTGACAAGAATTGCGCTCATGCACATATGAATGATGTGCTTTGACGTAGTACAATAATCGCGCGTACGAACATAACTTTTAAAAGCATCGCCAAGTGCACCGTGAGCATAATAAAAATCTCCAAAATCATTGTATCCCATCCTTAAACTTTCTTTTATCAAATTAGTCTGCAAAAAGTAACAATGCCAACAAATTAAAGATGGAAACCACAAGTTCCTGAAGAAGTAGCTAATTACACAATATCCAGATTTTCAAACCAGTTGTTTCCACTTTTTAGGAGGTAAATTCAATTCGAGCATTGCTTTATTGACATGAGAACCACAACAAAATTATCCTAAAGGATGTGCGAGAATCTAAATCAAACGTAATGTACCCTATACGCGTTGAGTTCATTCTCGAGCTTATCCTTCCTCTGTTCAGCCCTCCGCTCGATCATCTCACACCAAGTGGCATCCATCCCATAGTCAGGCCCCAACCTACCGTCGATCTTCGTCACGACTTCCCTGAACAACAGAGTGTTCTCGCCCTTCTTAATCTCGTCGTACGCCATCCGAAGCGCCTCGAGCTGCATCGTCTGATTGGTGTCGGCGCCGCAGTGGTCGGCAATGAATATGAGACGAGTGATCTTGGTGCGACCCGAATAGAGACTGGCATAGGCTTCAATGTCGAGCTGCTCGCCGGTTATAATGGGTCTATTGCGCTTCTGGTCGTCGGCGCTGGTGCCGTTGGCGTAGATCTCGTCTTCGACCATTGTTGCGCTGCTCGAGGGCTCGTCTTCGCCTTGCATATCGATGGGAATATCGAAATCGAGAGAATTCAGAGGATAGATGGAATTTGGGGATGGAGAATTAGGGTTCTCTGAGAGGGAAGAAAGTGACCGTACTTGTTACGGAAGAACGCTTGTAGGTGTGTGTCAGTCTCTCGCTTATGTAGCAGCAAAATTTCTACTCTCCCGACAGCCATCGGACGGGGGAGAGACGGGGAGTTCGGATGCCACGTGCGATGCGATAGTCTCACGTGTCATACAACGACGTCGTTTCATCCTTAAATCTCATCTCAATTTTAACCAACCTATAAAATCATTGATTTATTTCGAAGGCGTTGCCGAATCAAGAAGCGGTCGAAATATTCATGAGAATCACAGGCGCTTCCGAGTCTCTCGCCCTGCGTAAGCTCGAGCTCCACTCTACGTTGGAGTAACACTGCATCACTTGAATTTTTTGTTGGTTTGTCGTTTTTATATTAGAAACGTTAACTGCAAAATTTGTATTTGTTTCAGGTTTTCAAATTTCAACCACGACACGTACTTTTACTGATTGTTGATGAAATTTTAGCATTCGAAGTACTGAATGAACACTTTCACAGTAACGAATGATTGATCCGAGTTTCGCATCTAATTCTTGATGATCAGGCAAGGCCATATTGCAGGTGTACTTTGGACTTGAAGATGGCTCGATGATGTTGAGAGATCTCTGCCTCACCGGCAACCAAGAAGCCTTGTTTGTGGAGCTAATATGGTATAATATCTTCCACCAACCACTTTTGAATTGAATAGATAGGTGGCCAACAGGTACTCTAGCTCAATCTGGTTTATGTATATGAATAGTTGAAAACTATTGGTGTGTGGATTGGCCAACAGAAACGAGAATTCTTAGAACAAGGGGCTTTTTGAGTGATCTTAATTATAGTTCTTAATAGATGATTCTATGTCAGATCTGGCAAGTTATTTGGTCCATGATTCTGTTAGGAAAATTTTGATACAAATTTTTGTACTAATTTCCTTCATTCTTTGCCATAAAAATGAATTTCAACGTTTGAGTTTTGCACTTGATATCGAAAATTGTGCCATTTCTAGCTCGTGGTAAAATGTATAGTTCAAATTTGTATGTGAATGTGATGATCTAGGGGGCCATTTGTAAGCATAATACAGACTGTTTATTAGTTATTGGGTCAGCACCAATAATTTCATCAAAATTCAAACGTCCCTTCACAAAAAAATGGGTAATGAAACAAAAAAATGAATTTGTAACTGAGTTATTGACCCCAAAGATTAGAAAGGAAAAAGAGAACTTTGAATCAAAACATTGGGGCACTGCTAGTTTTCAGATGTTTGCTTTTCTTGATTTTCTTCTTCAGATGCAGGTGCAGTCCAATACTGCTTGGTTGCAACCAATACCTTTTCTCTATGATGGGGTCCTTTCTCATGGTCTGCGATTCTGCATTCCCATTGCATAGCCTCTGCGATGTTCTTGACCTTCACCAACACATCCACGTCGTCTCTGAGGATCACGCTGCCCTGTGGCCGCAGAATCCTGTCCATCTCTAGCAGAATATCCTCCATTTCACATCTGCAACACAGGTATAATTTTCTCACTGAGTTAGTTTCCGAGCGCATTATGAAAGAATTTTGTAATATGCTTAGTCTAATTTACCTGTCCTTGTACATACTGAAGACTGAATCGCCATGAATGAAGTCATATGTTCGAGGATAAGTTGACATTGCCTCACACCTAAAAGATCAATGGGCGTTTTCAATTCAAAATGAATATAATTGTAACCACCCAAACCCACGGCTAGTAGATGTTGTCCTCTTTGGACTTTCCCTTTTGGACTTTCTCTCAAGATTTTAAAAAGCGTCTACTAAGAAGAGGTTTCCACACCCTTATAAGGAATGTTTTGTTCCCCTCTCCAATGGGATCTCACAATCTACCCCTTGGGTGCTCAGTGTCCTTGCTGGCACACTATTCATATGCATTTTAAAACCTTGAAGAAAAACCCAAAGAGGAAAATATCTACTAACAGTGGACTTGGGTTGTTATAATAATTGGCTAAGTTACATCTTGCTTGGTTGTATTTTAATTCTACATACCAATTTTGATATGTTCCGATTAGTCCTCGTTCGTAGATGACTCCAAGGGTGTTAAAATCTGCTTCGACAGGGACGATGTTCATGACCCACAGAGGATCGTCAACAAGGGCAGCTGCAAAGCCACCCAAGAATGAGTTCATGTCAAGCAAATTGCGGTACCTCCCAGGCTCAGCAAGCTGGTTGTCCAAGGCCTTGTAATATGCTACTCTCTTTCTCCATAACTCTGTATTTTCGGTGAAGTTTTGTGCTGTGATTTGCTTTAAACTCCCACTGCTTATTCTTGGTGGAACAGAAGTTAGTCTCTCTGGCCAATTGAGCAGCTGCCCACCAGCTGTTTCTTTTATGTCAGACACTTCAGGAAGTGGCGTCAAGCAAGGCTCCATTTTTGTGTACCTGCACTTAGACGACAAGTGTAAAAATAAGGTAAACATTATGAAAAAAAAGCTGGAAACTGTTCTCAGTAGGGATGGATTTTTGTTGATTCTTGGCAAGAAAACCAAACTTAGAATAAAGCAATAGCTGGTGAAAGAAGCAAAGAGCTCAACCCCTTGAGCATCTTTTTGATATCAAACTTTTCAATCACTTTGGTTTTGGTATCACTTGCAGACTATGCCTTTTAGCTTTGAATATCTCTAGAAAAAGAAGAGTCGAGACAAAACAGTTTACGAACCATGCAGTGTCGGGGTTCTGTCCCTGGCAAAAGTTGGGGAATTTGAAGACCTTTCGATTCTTTTTACAGTGTATATGGTTGGTTGGTTTTTGCCAAATAGCAATATCACCCTTCTGCTTCAACTTTTTCCAGCAAAGGCTTTTAGCCACAGCCTCGATTTTCGACTGCTCGTCTTGGAGATCTTCGGCCGTTCTTTCCCAACCTTTCCAGTGATTTTCCCAGTTTATCGGCGGCCCGGAGAGGACCCAGTAGCCTCCAGGTCTTAGAATTCTATCGACTTCAATCAGGTACATACCATCTGCTCCACACAAAAGATGCATAGTTTGAATGAAAATGAGAATGCAGGGGATAGTACTTGGAAGAAAGAAGTAGAAAGATACCAGATTGAGCCCAGGGAATGAGGCAGCGAGAACAGTGAGCCATGTCGAAAGCTCGAGATGGATAAGGGAGTCGGACGGAAGCAAGAACTCCGATCAAAGCGGGAACTCCGCGCTCGAGTGCGAATTGAACTTGTGCTTCATGAGTGTCTCTAGGTGCAAATGACATTGTCACTATGTTCCTTGACAATAAGTATGCCCCCCAACTCGCCACCTTACCAAACAACATCAAATCTTTGTTTCTCAATACAATAACTCTCTTAATGATTTTGTATCCATTGTTAATAGAAACAGTGGAGTTGAAACAGAAATTATTCATATTTATTTCTATTGTATTTATTGAAAAAGTACACAAACATAAATTATATCTTTAAGCCTTTTCATGTTGATATTACATTCATCAACAAGGGTCCAAAAAAAAAAAAAAAGATATTTTTTATTAACAAACTTTCAAGATATTTTTTAAATTCACTATTATTAGATAAGCTAAAATTGATATCCATTAGCTACAATCACATGCATCCATGTGTACCAATACGTAAATATAAAGTTGCCCCTAATTTTTACCCATTTCTCATTATTAATTAAAATTATCTAGAACTAATTAAAGAACATTACAAATAAACAATTATTCATAAATATTCCGTATGTATCCTATATCCATCTCATGACATGCGTGGCACTTTCTTATTGGTCGGTTACACTCTCAACTGACCCCAAACCTTACATCTATTATCTCTTAAGACTCAAACTAGTTACAAAAAAAAAAAAAAAAAATCATGTAAAATTACATTTTGACCCTCGGTCCAGTCAATAAACAACAAATAAGAATAATTATGGTCTAATTTAAAAAAAATATAATTCTAAAAAATCATTTTCTTATTGGTCGTTATCCTATTTGTTCATAATGAGAGGAAAAGTCTTATTTATTCTCTTTTATGTGATTTTTCAAAATGTATGGAAAGAGGTCAATTTCCGATTATTTTCACAATAAAAAATTAAATTCAATGAATTTTGAGACTGGCCGGCCGGTTTGATCCGGCCGGTAGGAAATATGTACGTACCCCACACCCGGTGTCAACGGCGGTTCTGATGGACCCGTCGGCGAGATTGATCAATTTCCCGATATCGTCGATATAGGCGTTGGCGCCTCGAGGGAACATGGTGCCACCGCCGGGAAATCTAAACCGGTCCTTCTCGAACCGGACCCAGTTCTGATTCTTCTTCTCCACCGTCAATTCCTTATGCGGAACATTCGAAAACCAGGCGAAATCCCGGCTCTCCGGCCATGAGAACGGCAGTTTATACCCGGCTGGCGCCGGAATCCGGCACTTCAGAATCTCTCCGGCGGCCGGGCAGTGTCTCTCTCTGTAGATCAATCGGTCCCTGTCGAATTGGAGAGACCTTTCTCGGTCCTCGCAGGGGGTATATTCATAGAGCTTCGGGTCACACGGTGGGAGGTAAGGGCGACGCGCCTTTGGGATTACTTGGAGGTCGGCGGCGGTGTGATGAACGGTGAAATCGAGGTCGACAACGGCGGTTTCAGAAGAAGTTTGGAAGGTGGCGGTTGAGGTAGTACATCCATAATTCCCGCCGACGAAAAGAATAGCTTTTCCGACGGAGTGTTGCCAAACGCCGACGAGATAAAAGGCGGTGCAGAGAATCGCGACCAAAGTAATTGTGAAGAGATTGAGCCTCCCAGCTTTGAATGGGAAATGGGTCACCGCCATTGAAGAGTTCAAGAAACAGGGGAAAACAGAGTATCAGAACCAGACGAACAAAAACAGAGCTTTCCTCCCTCTCTCTCTCTAAAAACTCCGCCGGTTTAATTTCAATGAAGAGAGAGAGAGAGAGAGAGAAAGAACGCCGATTTGAAGAAGACGAAGAAGGTTGAAGAAAGTGGGTGTGGGGATTTGGACTTTTTAAAGGCAAAGTGACGACTGAGAGCGTTCAAGAACAAGAGAGAGAAAGAGGGAGGGAGGCGGCGCATGGGGAACACACGCGGAAGCGCCACCGTGGACGGCGGAGATATAAAGAGAAAAAATGGGGGGTTTTATTTTATCTTTACTAGGAACAAAATTTGGTATTTTCGATTAAATCTCTCTGAAAAGAATATGAATATTCTTGTGTTTATTTATTTTCCAATTCCCTATGGAAATTCTTGTTCTTGATATTCGAGATTTTAAATAAATAAATAAATAAATAAATAGTCGCATTATTCGATTACGACGCCTTAAATTTGGCTTCATCCATTTTGTTCCTTCCCCAAAAATTAAATTAAATTAAATTAAATATTTAAAATTATTACAAATTTAATCCATCAATTTTCTTGTTTTATCGTATATGTATTTTAATTAAATTATTGTGTGATAAAAAATATTTCGTAGATAATTTATTAGACTTTTAAAAATATGTAATAAAAAAATCAAAAAAATATTTTTTTTAATTAATGGGAAGTGAAAATATGTAATAAATTTTTTTAAAATATGTTTTTTTTTAAAAATAAATTTTTTATATATTTTTAAAAATATGTAATAAAAAATTAGTGGAGAGTGAGGCGGGAAGTGAAACTTGCTTGCATGAGATGAGAGCTATGCTTGGTGATTCCGATGGGGAAGTAATGGAAATGTAAGCATGTGGGAGTAGGGATATGGTGCGGGCCCACCCATACCGGTAATATGGTCCACGTGGGCCCATTCAGATCGAACGGGTCCAAAACGGTTATCATACTTGCTTCATTAGGTTGATTAAATGTTTTCCCTTTTTGACTTTTCCACCACTTTCACTTACTTACGTTTCCATCTCATCGTCCTTCCCCTTTTTAATTTTTTTTAAAATTCAATTTATATAATTTAATACATAAAAATAATAATTATAATTACTAAAATTATTCTATTTAAACATATTTTTAAATTTTTCACTTTATATAAAAATAATATTCATATTCTGACCATTTTTTTTTAAGTTTAAAGGTAATATTAAAATTTTTAAAAATTAATGATTATTTTGTAAGAGTCTTTTTTAGTTTTAATTAATATAAAATATCATTTAAAAGATACAGATAAATTATTTTTCCATACAAAAATTTGTAGTAACAAAAATATATTTTTATTTCCAGAAAAGGCGTGCACTAAAATTTAAGTAGATTTGTTATTTAAATAATTTAAATTATATTGCATATTATCGTGGCCTCTTCACCCACGCGACACATCGGCGCGTGAATTGTAAACGCCATTGGAAACGCTCCGTACAACACCCCATGTGCCTGTCTCAACGCCTCCACCTTACGCCTAAGTCCTAACAATAAACCAACTAATCCCAATAATTTTGACTTTTTTCACTTTAAAATATATTAATATTGTAATTAAAATTTATTTTTACTAATTTTAAATTATTAAAATAAGAATTTTCGGTGTAAATAATTGAATATTATAAATGAGATAGTGCTAAAAAGTGCATAAATAGGGCAGGCAACTAGTTAATTATTACGATCATACAATAATTAATGAATAATTTAATATAAATTAATGAAATATGAAGGACAAAAATAAGCATTTTGGTAAGGGAGGGATAAAATCTAATATTATAACATTTTATTTATTTATTTGTTTATTTATTTATTTATTTATGATGGTTATTAATGAAGATAATAATATGCTTTTCTTTCATTTGGAGGATAGCTGAGTTGTGAGTCACTTTTGGAGTTTATTGTGGGCCCAAAAAGCCCTTGGCGGGGAAGGTGGGGCCGAGGACTTTTTTGCCATTTTACTTGCCAACACAATTTGGTATCAATTTTTTTGTATTTTTCTTATTCTTATATGACTTTCAGAATTTGTTCTAAATATTTTAATTTATTGTTCTTAATGATATTTTAATTTTTCATTAACTATATTGAAATTTGTATATATTAAAGCTCGGAGAAAATTTTAATAAATTTATTTTTAATAATTTGTATATATTAAGGGTATAAATTAGTTTCTTTTTTAATAATTAAAATCTTATTCCAAATAAGATATTTATACGTTTTTAAGGTAACGCATGAAATGGGAGTAAATTGCAAGTAATGCTCTTACACTTTTGGCACATGTCACATTGAGCTATAAAAAATTTGCTATTCAACCCTTCGAGTTTATTATAATTAAAAGTTCAACCATAATACTTTTTTATTTTTACTTTTTAGAGAGAGTAAGCCAAGAGGCCCAAATTAAAAGAATACGCATTATCCTAATGGGCCGCATGGCCCATTATATGGCCCATGGAGGAACAATATAAATTCTATTAAAAACAAATAAATTATATATTTATATTTTACAAAGGAAAATATTATTTGCTCATTTTTTTAGTTTTTAATGTTCTTATTGTCCAATCTAATTATACCTTAATACTGCTAAAACACGGGTTCACATTTGAAACGGTAGATAGCTGGAAAGTCGAAAGCTCAAAAACCCTATTTAAAACGTTGTAGTATAACAAATCCATAATTCAAATCATTGGAGACGAAAGTTCGAGCCCATTTTTTTACATTGATTTCTTTTTTTTAAAATTTAAGCTTATATACATTACAAATTTTTAAGTCGAATTTTTTTATATAATTATTTGATTTTTTTTTTGTCATTGAAAATTAAAACCAACAAGGGTTTTTTTTTTCTTTTTCTAATAATAATAATAAAA